ATAGACCAGATACATGTAGGGGGTCCGACGTTCTGGGAACGCCGGACCCCCAGGAGCAAAAAATTCCGAGCGGATTTTGGCAAAAAAAGTCAGTTTTGATTTCGTTCAAAAAATATAATATGTTCGTTTTGACGAAATGGCTGTTAAGAAGAAAGACACAGTTACGATGGCGCCCGCCAAAAATTACAGTTACACACGCGATTAAGGGCGCCCACTAATCCGAAGACCGCCCCATGAAGAAGCGCGTAGACAAAAGGCGCCGCGCGACAGAAAAATCCTAATTACTGAAATCCTAAATTCCTATCTAATGCAAAAAAGCAAAAAGCACGAACTTCAGGGGGAAAGTCCGAAATTCCGAGAGCTATCGGGGCTCGACAAAATTCAAAAAGAAAATTTTAAAAAGAACGAGGCAAATTCCCGCGCGATGTTCTCGCCCAAAAGACCGAAACCGAAACGGAAGAAACGACGTCAACATTTATTAGTCGCGCGAGCGGTGGTGCGCCAGCCATCAACCGACCAATCAATCAACCGGCCGTCCCCGGACACACCCAGCTCCGAACCCAGCCATATGAAAAGAAGCGACGAAAAGAACGAAAAGCAAGGGCACTGATGCAATTTTCCACCGATCCCGATGTCCCGTAATTGGCCCAACCTTCCCAGCTTAGGACCCCTCGTTGCAACCGCGCAAAAAATCGCGCGTTACCGAAAGTGGTTCGTCACATATTTGATGCCCAGGGGGTTCCAATATTAGCAAGCTCCTGCTTGCTTGTTGACATGTGTCGATTTCTCTAATCGATCGACATGCGGAGCACTTCTTTCTATGCCACTTACCGTTCAATTGCGTGTGGACGTTGTCCAACGTGGCAACATTGCTCTTCTACTAATTCCTCAGATTGGGCTCTCGACGATCCAAGGATGGAATCTTTCTCGTGCCATCGTAAGTTCGGGTATGAAGCGCCATTACCGCTGCATCAGTAATTAACCGGGAGGGGGAAAGAAAGGCGATACGCGTATGAGGAAGGGCAAGGCGGCTCCATCGTAAGTTCGGGTATGAAGCGCCCGATCGCGGTGAGGTCATGGGGAAGATCTTGAAAGCGGACGATGCGATGAAAGCGAGGGAATCGATGTCCGCTGCGGGGAAGGGAAGCGAGGTAGTCTGGGTAAAGGGAGACAAGGGTTCGGAGGACGTCGGTGCGAAACCGATCATGGCCTTCGCACGCGGGGAATGTTCCCGTGACGATGTTGTAAACTTCTATGTGGTTACGGCCTCGCCACGCGGCGCTAAGGAGTAGAACGTGGAGGGGGTAATCGGGGACGACGCACCGAACGGAAGGGTGGGGATGGACAGTCAACTCTAGGCGGGCGGAGTAGAAGTGTCGGAAGGTGGCGATGGGGAAGGGATTACGGGGGAAGACGATGCGATGAAGATACTGATTGAAAGAGAGATGGCTAAGGGGACGGTGGTATATGGATCGGGGACGAAGGGCGAAGCCCCTCATTGACACGTTGACGAATTGGGGGACGGGCGGAGGCGGAGGGGGATAAGGATCGGGATCGGGGTCGGTGCCTTGTCGTCGCCGCGCTCGAGGTCGTGGCAACAAGGACCCCTTGTTCCGGCTTGGGCGGCTCGGGATCCTTGGAAGGATCGTTCGGTGTGGGGTCGATCATTGGCCGTTTTCCCTCCACGACCTCCTTCTTGTGCTGCGCAGCGGCCTCAGGATTTTCCTCTTGATGATCCGGTTTTGGCACCCACTCGAGTTCGTCGTCGCGCGCTGGCTCCCGATCGTCTTCTCCGCTTTCCACTCCTTCGTCGTCGTCTTCGTCCTCCTCTTCTCCTTCTGAAGTCTCCCCCTCTGCTTCTTCTTCTTCTTCTTCTGCTTCGCGCTCCTCTTCCTCGTCCTCGGCCAACCGGGCCGCTGCTTCTCCGGCCTCTCTCCTTAATTCTCCTTCCGATTCTTCTTCTGCTTCTTCCTCTGCCCTTAGCGCTGCCCACTCGAACGCCGTTGGTTGCCGAAAGAAGCAGGGGTTAGTTAGGCTGTGGACGTCTAGGTACTCGCTGCGAGATGGGAAGCGGCCGTCCGCCCAGCGCTCCTCGATACAAGCCGACCACTGAAGGCTCGGGGCGAGAGTCCTTGAGAGGACATGCGGCACGGGCTCTTCGTCACTCTGAGAGACGATATCGAGGGGGAGCTCGTCGGCCAGTCGCGCGATCACGATCGTAAGTTCGCGCACGATCTGTGATCGGTATCCCTGATCCACAGTTCCAAAGACGAATCCCAGAAGGTCTCCCGCCACGTTAGTTCTCCACGCCTGAATGACGAGCAACTCCACGGTTTCTGACGAGGGCCTTTGATCGCCTTCCCACGTCCAGTTCGGATCCACTCGCAGCAGGCAGAACGAGAGCTCAACGAACTCTGCACGCCACAATCTCCAACGATCCGGATCAACGATGGGTACTGTCAGAGGCTCCACGCAGAAAGAGAGACGGGGGTAGTGAGAGGACTGCCAGAAGATGGGGAAGAGCGAGGGAGGGGAAAACGTTGAGATCAGCGCGCGGCTCATCTGCGCGGCTGGAAGGGGGCAAGTTTTGGGAGGACGACAGGTGGCTCACGCAGCGTCTTGATCTCGATGCCGTCGACAGGATAGCCCTCGTCCCCGTGCCTTGTGAGCCATCGATCCCAATCAGTGGCCAAATCACGACCCCACTTGTACAAGGTGCTCTTGATGGCGGCTTGCCGCGCCGGATCGAAGGTGGTGATGTTGCCGCTAAAGACTACCACGGTAGACACGTGGCTAATACCCGGAGTCGCGCGCCGTTGGAACGCCGTTGCCTCGGCCAACACCACCACTTGGGGATCACTCGTGAACCGGAACTATCCCGCGTCGTACACACCCGAGGTGCAGAAGAACTGCGCAAGGCGCAAGAAGTCGGGGCTGATCCGCGGATGATGCACTTGTAGGATGGCTGAGATCTCTCCTCGTGGCATCAGCAACTGATCACCGAAAGCCCGCTCGGTGGCGAAGCTCATGACGATGGCGGAGGTGACGGGGTATCAGAGAAGGGGCAAGAGGAAGAGGGAGATGCCAGAGAGATAAGATCGTTGCCGTCGGCTTTCTCTGAGGGGGAGGCCGATGAAGAGGGAGATGGGGTCGAGGGGAGGAGGCGAAGATAGGACACGTGGCGTGTGATCGGACGGGCCGATTGACTGCTAGAGACCTCGGGGGCGAGACACACGGTGTCCACGCCGTTAGGCCCGAGCTCGATCACCCGATATCGCCCAAAGAATCGTGGTGCTAGCTTACCCTGGCGAGCACATTTCCTTACCTGCACCATGTCCCCCAATTTGTACTGGGGCCGCAGACCCGCATTCCCATTTCGGGCCTCGGAGCTTCGGACCTGTCGGCCTTTGGCTAGTTCGGTCATTTTCTATCGTTTTCGGGCTAGCCTAGGCAGTGACCGTTCCATTAGCTCTAGGTGTTGTTTGGCCTTGTCCCGAGCCGTGGCCCTGGTGGGCCGTCGGCTCAATGTAGACTCATCTGGGAGGCTTGATATTGAAACGCAAGCGACGTTATTGGTCCTTAATTGGAAGGGGCTTAACCCCGTCGATTCGTGGGGCGTTCCACGGTGGACCGCCAGGATGTGATCGACGATATCGGGCCAGGGCCTTGGATCCCGTGCCGCAATATTTCGTCGCAATGTTGTCTTTATCACCCGGTTAGCGTTCTCGACCAGCCCATTGGATTGTGACATGTGGGGTGCAGTGTTCCGTATGGCGACGCCATGTAGGACCAGATTCCTTAGCACCTCTCCCCTGAATTCAGCCCCGTTGTCGGTCAGGATCTCTTCCGTATCCTGATGCATCCCGAGGAAACGGTTGACGTGTCGCGCGATTTTCGTGGCTTGCCGTGTGCAACAAGGGTACGCCTCGATCCATTTTGCGAAATGGTCAACTGAATATTCGCAGCTATTAGGGCCAGGAGGTACCACTATGTCGGTAGTATCCATGCTCACTCTTTGAAACGGTCGTTCAACTACCGTGGGCACTATCGACCTTGGGGGCTGAATCGACGCTTTATCAGCGGCGCAGACTTGACAGTTGGCAACGATGTATTTCACATCGTCGCTGATATTGGACCAATACCACTCATTTTTGTCGATACCGGACTCCGTGATTCGTACGGCAAAATGAGCCGCAGTTTCCTCGTGCGCCGTCTTAACCCAGTCATACCGCATGAATGGATGCGGCACAACCATCCAAATCCCACTGCCGTCTGTTTTTCGTTTTTCTAATCTGCCCTTTATCCATCTGTAATCCCGAGCCTTCTCGTTGGCCCTCCTCCGATCTTCCTTGGTGAAGTCCTGGAGGGTGTTGCCAACCAAGGTGGCAATCAAGGCAATTTCAGTCCATATTTCGGCCCTTCTAAACTTCCGGGTTTTTTCCAACCCTTCTCACGTGGCATCCAAAAAGCGAGCCTCGGTCGGAATCTTGTTGGTCCGGCACAAGGGGCACAACCATGGTTCACTATCGTTTCTGTATTGGATGCACGAGCCGTGGGCTCGTGCAACACACTGTCGGCAATCTATCCAATCAACATACCCTTCCCCGTTAGGACGCATGGAGACCAAGTATACGCGGGAGATAGCTTCGCAAAAATAGCAAAATTTGTCAGGCAGGGAGAGGAGAGACGAGGAGGACAGGGGAAAGAGAGGGGTAGTGGGATTATCTCCGTCAGCCATCGCCACCGTTTTACTTCTTGCCACGTGGGAGGACTGTCACTTGTCCGTACTTAGGCACGTTGGTCAGGTCCGACTCTTTCCACGGTGTAATTTTCTTGCCCTTTGGTACATTGGCAGGTAGATGCAGACGTGTCAGCCCTTCCGCGTTGCCGTGTCGCTCCGTCTTTCGATGGACGATATCGAAGTCGTATTCTTGCAGTCGCACCGCCTAACGACCAATCATGCCCGTGTAGTTGGTGAGCTTCTTCAAAGCTAGCAGAGGCTCGCGATCCTTCACGAGGCGAAACTTCTGTCCGTAGAGATACGGATGGAAGTGCTGGATTCCCCAGACCACTGCATAGCATTCGCCTTGAGGTGCTGAGTCATTCCTCCGTTCGTCCGGTACCATGTGCGGCGTGTGTGACGCGTATTCGATGACGTGTTCACGACCATCGCTCCCCTTCTGCACTAAAATAGCGAAGATAGCTTCTGGTTGTCAGTCCGTGATGGGAATGAACTGTTTCGAGGGGTCCGGCCGAATCAAAATAGGGGTCGTCGCCAGAGCGTCCTTGAGGGTTGCGAAAGCCTGTTGGCACTTCGCGTCCCAGCTGAGAGGCTGGTCCTTCCTTAACAAATTTGTTAATGGTCGTGCAATCGCGGCGCCTTGATGAAGCGTCGGTAAGCTCGAACCTACGTCAGTGACGTGGAAACCGGGGCTTCTTTCACCGCCGCAACCTTTCTTGAGTCCGGTCGTAGTCCTCCACGTGTCATGACGTAGCCCAAGAACGAAATTTCCGAGAGAAAAAATTCGCTCTTCTCGAGCGCAATCTTGAACCCAGCGTCTCTCAATGCGCCCAACGTCCATTCGATATGCTGCGTGTGCCCGTGATAGGTTTCCGAATAGACCAAGGTATCGTCCATGTACATGATCATGCAGAAGTTAATCATCCCTTGCGTCAGCCGTGTCTTGTTGACAAAATTCTGGAACGTCATGTTCATCGCTCGCTGAAATATGGCCGGCGCGTTGCAAATCCCCATCAGACACTGAATCCACTGCCACGTGCCTTAAAACAACACAAAGGCCGTTTTGGGCCGATCTTCCTCTTTAACCAGAATGTGATGAAAATCATGCCGAATATCAAACTTGCTGAAATAATTGGCACATCCAATCGCATCCAACAAATCATCAATCCGGGGGAGGGGATACACATCTTTGATCGTGATCTCATTCAGCTTGATAATCAATGCAAATGCGAATCGCTCCGTTTTTCTTGGGTACTAATACTACGGGAAATGACCAAGGTCCGGTTCAATCCAGCCGCTGGCTTCGAACTCCCGAATTCGTTTGAGAGTCTTTTTGCGTTCAATCAACGAATACCTGTAAGGTTTGCAATGAATCGGGGAGTGATTTCCTGTCTGAATCTCATGTTGGATTACTAACGATAAACCGATGTCTGTGTCTGTCACACTAATCGCTCCTTGATATTCCGTTAGAATATCCGCAATCACCTGGTGGATTTCATTCGGTAACACGTAGCTCGAATAGTTGGTTCCTGATCTGAACGTCAATCTGTTTCATGCGCGCCTGTTTTGCCACATCGGGTGGAGGCGCTGAGATGAATGAATGGTCCGATCACCAGGAGAACACCATAGCCATCATCTGGGCATCTTCTTCCCGGATTGCCAAATGTCCTTCCGGGGTAATCCCGTCGCAAATATCCTACCATGGTACGTTCCTAGTTGCGATCTTTATCCCCAGTTCGTCTGTTGTGGATTCGAGACGCCAGGGGGTTCCAGAGAACTTGCTTCCGCCCCCAATCGTAACAACTTTACTTCCTTAGTCGATGTCAATAAGGATTTGGGTAGATTTGTAATGTCACAGTAATGCCTCTTGTCGTTATACCGGGCGAGGAGAGGGGTGATTCCTTCGTACAGAGTCTGAGGTTGGGTTTTTGTCGGGCGTGGGGCTTTTGGCCTTTACGTTCGGTGTTCGGGCGAGGGCGAATCGCTGTCGGTTTGCTTTGCAATGTTATAGCATCCGCTCATTAGCTTGCTCGAAGATCGATAGTAGATGACCGATCGGAAGTGGAATCCGATGGTCCAAGGCTCGGACGATGTTTAATACATCGATCTCTCCTGTGACGAAGGTGGGTCCTCCCGGCTCCATTTCTCCTAGAGACGGTCGCCACTCCGCCACCTCTTTTGGTTCTGGCGCTGGTTTGATTGTTCCGATCATACCAAGCCTGGGATAACCAAGGGATAAGTATTGGTCTAGCGGGATTAGCTCGGCGACTTCTTCCGTGGTGGCCAGGGCACTTCCCCCACCCTCTACTTCTTCCATCAAAGCTTTGACTCGTCCAGGTCCGTTAGCGATGGGGGCCGCAGCCATGGGCGCGACCCCGATCCGCTGTTGTGGGGGACGGTGGGGGCAATCACGGGCTAGATGTCCTGGCTGATGACAGGCATAACAAACATTCAGATTATTCGCGGTTCCCCCGAGAGCAGGTGCGGGAGCTAATTCTTGCTGCATCGGAGGGGCGCGCACCGCAATAGGCCGCATGTTCCTCATCATGGCTTCTAGTCGAGCATTGTGCTCTCGCTGCTCCTTTTTGCTTTCCTGGATTAAACTGATCAATGTTTGGTTAGTTCGAAAACGACCGCTGATTCGTTCGATCGTACGGGAGCCTCAATCGGTCT